ATAAATAATCTCGTGATTAATCTCGTCGTATATCTCACAATCAGATTATTTAAATAAAAAGAGAATTTAAAAATTTATATATATATATACAGAGAGAATGTTTAGAATTATGCATACTTGCAACTATTGACATGGGAATATATCGTTATCAATCGAATCGGTCCGCGCTAAGATTTCTGCGATAACGCGCCGTGAATTAAAAAATGAAATCGTGACTTACTTCCACAATACGAAGGCTGTAATTGCCAGCATCACGATGAAACAGGCGCACACCATTCCGGCGATCACTCCGGGGGTGAGATCTTTAATATTGCTGCGATGCATCAAGGGCGGTATCTTGTCGCAATCGCGAGTGACCAATACCTTCGTCGGTGTAGAGCTCTCGCCTTGAATGAGGTGGCTGTTTATTGTACTCCTGGTGGCTCCCCGTACTACGATCTCGTAAACGGTGTTTACCGTCAGATTAGGTATGATCGCCTGCATAAAAATAAGTTCCCAATATTTTCTAATGCACTGTGATTTGTTTTTATTTAAACTGATGTAAAGGATGATAAAGTATGATGAAGGAAAAAATTGCAAAAAGTTTTTCTCATTAATAAATACTATCAATAGCATGAATTGTTACACACTTCTTCTTTTTCTGTAAAAAAAAAATAATTGACATTTTAAAGCTATAAAAGAGAGACGTACCCCGCTTTCGAGATGATTCTTCTCGGTGGATAGTTCAATTTCCTCGTAATATCTTCCATTTTCCGGCCGGTAATTGATGTAGTAATAGTCGATCGAGCCCGAAAAAGTGACCGGCCTGGCCCACTGAATATAGAGGGACTGGTGAGACTGGCAAGTCAAATTCAAGATCAAAGGTGCACTTGGTCCTGTTATATCGGTTCTGCGAATAATCTGATCGGAAGGCTCGCCTTCATTCTTTCGCGTGTAAGCCTTCACCCAAATCTTATAGTCGGTGTTCGGATCTGCAAATAACAAACCCGGCGCTCGGCTATGAATGGCAATCGAGCAAATTAACCTTCATGAATGAAACTTAAGCGACTATTTTTTACGCCTGACCAGTCTCATCATGATATATCGGATCTTATCGAGGCATCTTTTCGCGACTGTCGTGCAATGAAATATAATTCTTTCTTTATTCGCTCGTAATTGTAATGCCAAAATAAATATATCTAACGATGCATTCGCCTGCGCAGCGAGCGCATATGAAAAAAAAAGCGTGTACGGTGATAAGAATTCTTCGAGCTTTTCTTATCAACGAGCCAAGTATACCGACCTCTATCTCTAGTCGTCTACTGTAACGACTATTCGTTGTCGACTGGAGATTACATGCTTAATCTCGCATTATCTGACGCGTTAAAAAAGGTCGAGAGACTGGATGGCGTTAAAAATTATACGTTAAAAAATAAAAAGATAAATTTTAGTTCACTCAAGCATTTGATACTTATTGAATTTTTTCTGTTACTTGAAATAAATAATCTTATTCGTATAATCGTATTTCTCGCGCAATATTGTTTACGTATAGAACGTATATACTCACTTAGATCTTTCAGAATAAATTTGGTATTCGGGTCGTCCGAGTCCGCAGATTTATCGGGTATGTGCATTTTAACGTCCGTATAGTTGGAATGCATATAGTAAACGCGATAACCGACGATGATACCGTTGGCATTCTCGGGCTCCGACCACGAGAGTTCAATGGTGCTGCCCGTGATTTCCCGGGAGGTGAGATTTTCCGGCTTTGTTGGAGCTAAAAGGGAAAGAGAAAAAAAACATGCGTTTTTCATTATAATAAGAGAGGATATTATATTGACCTTTCCTTTCTCGTCATCATTTACAATGTCACGCTGAGACAAAGTATATTCAAGCGTATTTCAAAATAAGCGCATTAAAAATAGCAGGCTTTCCATTAAAATTTTTATTTTACTCTTTTATTGTCGGAGCGTAACGCCTTTTCATACGGTGAACGCGTTATTTACATAGACATAAAGAGATAGACTTGCATGCGCCATAAATTTTTCTATATAGTACACGTTAGGTCAGAGACATAGCGGAGAGAGAAAGAGAGACATCGGATCTTTTTTCCATACTTTACTACGCGTTGCGTCGATAAGAAACAAAATATGATCCAATGTTTTCCTTTCTCTCTCTTTCAGGATGTTTAGAATACATAACCAGTGCGCTGGGGGTCCATTCCCGGTTATTTAATTGTTCTTTCGAGCAACAGATATCGATATACCCAATTCGCTATATTTTCATTTTCCTAAAGCTCTATTTCCTTCAGTAAATAATACGGATGAATAAACGACCGTCGATGCGTTCATATAAGAGAGATCAAATTTATTGAATATTCATACATCTGCCGCGGCATTACCATACGTTGCGCGGCGTGCGGTATAAAACATGCAGATTGATTTGCATTCTAGCCTCAGCTGCGTAAAATCATTGACAGTAATCTTGCTCGGACACGCTCCAAATAAATGAGGCATAATAGGGGAGATCCTGTCAAATGTATCGAATAATAAAATAAAACCGAGTAGATATATCTAAATAAATTAAAATTTATAGATATACAAATTACGAAAATCCCTCACTCAAAAAAATATCTTGCTGATATAGGTAGATTTCTAGGTGTCACAACAAAAATTTATCGCTATTTTTTGTATCTGTTAGAATATTGTCTGTTACATATAGAATTTATAGCAGCAATATTCTAATAATATCTTCTAGAAAATTTAGGTCCCATTGCCAAATGTTAATCACTGCATTGGATAAATATGAGTTTCGATACTACAGCTAGAACGATCTTTGTGAGAAATATAACTGCCAATTATAACTGCAGCATCGAAAAATTGAGAGAAATTGTTTAAAAGAGCTAGATAGATTGGGCGCATTATACAAATATGTTATATGTGAGGATTATATATTCATTTGTTTCTTGTCGCTAATTTTTTCTGTGTACCACAGTCAAACTTTATAACAAGTATGATTGGCCTTACATGGATAGGCGCCACAGAAAAACATTCTTTCTAAATTTCACAAACAGTTCAGATATAAATTCTGTCTCTGTCACTTAGATTGATTAAATGCGAAACATATGCGATATCACAGTATTTGCTAATCATTTATGTACCTCAGTTAATTTTGCGCACCCAGAAAATTTTTGCTGTGGTTGCAATACCACTTTTTTGAGTGCTGTAATAGAATTAAGAGAAAGACTATAGAGGACGATAGAATTTAAGAGCAATTTCGTGACTGCGAAATTATTTTATTTTCCATTTATCGACAACGTGCAACGGGGAGAGGATCGTTTCTCGCTGACTCTTTCGCGAACGATAATTTACAACTATTTGGTGACCTTTAACGCGCGTTATCATCTTCTGCAGCGTTCCGTTTAAAGCACCTTATCGAATTCGCGCGATAGATTAACAACGTGTAATAAAATGCGAGGCTGTTCGGAGAGCGGGGATATATACACCTTTACACGCTTTACAAGCTGCGGCGGATGATGTCATATCGAGTCTGTGCACGCACAACGACGGCCGAGCCGAGTCGTACTCGTATTACTATCAGGTTGAAAAATGAATACGATTACGGGCCCCGCCGTATGGCGCAAGGTCGTGATCTTGCAATCCAGCGCCGTCGTGCGTAGCTTGAAAGGCGAACTACGCGCCAAATCTATTCGCGATCGCTGAAATGTCTTTAATCGCGACTGTATTTTGTGACGAATTCTACTCGATAAACGATCTCGTTCCTCGATAAAAAAAAAAAGAGATAGAAAGAGACGATATCGCGCCGACAAAACGAGCGTCAGACGATGCACTTTCTTTATAATTTCGAAGATTGAAAGGAGATTCACTATCGTTTTTCTACGGAACCCAGAAACCAAGTACAGAGTCAAGTAGGCGAAAGTGTCTTTATTAGGATAGGTTCACGGTGAGTGAAAGGAACAGTAGATAAAAAAACGTGGTACCTGCTTCGAGTGCCAGAGTCGCGCTTGCATACCGATTTGCAGCGCTTCGAGTTGCATCCGAATTCATTGCAACTGTTTTAAATTCTTCGATTCAAGTTTGACTAACGCAAAGTTCTATTAAATGATTGATATGTTTTAGATGACATTATAAATTTTTTTGAAATTCAGCCCAGACCTTCAAGATGAAAATCTTTACATTCTATCACACAAGAGAGGTAATGTTTTTTTAAACTTTGTCGTCTAGATTATTATACAGTAGATTATATTACTCTAATAATTGTTTTATTTTATAAAAATTAATCATTTTACAAAACACCGTATATGATTTTCAGGGCAATACCGATGGTGCCTCCATTTGTCCGGATTAGGCTACCGACCTTGGGTTCTGACGTAAAAATAGAATGTCTGGATTCGCAAGAGATAATATTCAACGTTTTTGCTCTTGAAAATAATCCTGAGAATGAACGTATTTCCATAATTTTATACCGCGACGACACTTAAGGTCAGTAGGTAATCGTTGCTATGGCGATCTCCGTCAGTATACATATATGCTACAAATGCAAAAAACGAATGACGCGCATTCTTTTACGTCTTACATAAATAAAACGAAACAAACCGCACGGGTCAATCTCATTATTTTATTACGCTTTTATGTTAGAAACTAATCCTGCGTACAATAAAAATGTTACAAAATATCGTTTTCCCGCAACGAGGCCAGCGCACTTGCGGCAATTACAACGGCAATTACGAAATAACCGGGCAACACTACAATGCCATGCTTGTGCGTGCGTGTTAGTACGCACGTTTGAGAACGTTTGCGCAATCATAGATGTGCATTGTAGGCGAGCGTGGTTTAAGGAAAAGACGAAACGGATGAGGAACACGTCCTTTAAAGTCACCTTGTATACCTTACGAAACGTATGTGCGTTTCGCGTTCCGCGAAATCGAGACGGAACGGGAAATGAGTTAAGCATCGATTACACGAGCGGACAATCTCGTATACTCGCAAGGTGATTACGAAGTAGTCGCTGCGTAACGCAATACTTGAATCGACCAGTGACATTTCCTAGTGAAACTCGCACATTTATTTCTATATTTTACCAATTAATCACGCTTTTAATTGATGCTAAGTGGCGAAATTTTCACCGCAGCCTACTTGATTCTCGGTATACTTTGAACGCATGGCACCACGTTTTCTTCAGACGTAAACGTTTAAATTTGAATAATCTGCTTTATTTTTGCTTTTGTAATTTTGTTTATCTCAAGTATTAATATTATTTCAGTTACATACATATTTATTTAGCGTCAATCTCTCGTTAATAAATCAATTATTTAGGAGAAACTAAAACGATAAATGTTTTTGATTTTCAGAATTCAATGTGATATCGTTTACGAAATATTAGATCGTTTAATATTATTGATAGTAATATTATATTAATATTAAGTTGTACTGGCAGAGATGCCGGGAAATGATGATGAAACGCTTCAAGATATATCGCCTTATCGATGTGTGTACTTTCTTCCCCTTCTCTTTATTTTTTCTCTTTCTATCGTATATTTTATTTTTACCATTATCGTTAGATATTTTCTCAGTTGGTCTTTTTATTATCGTATTATTACCCCTATTATATATTATCAATACCCATGGCGCTTTCTCCAAGCAGGTGATGGTTTAGCGTCGATCTGTCGATCGCGCGGTATCCCCCGCAAATTACCTCGATAAATATCGCTGTCATTCTCCGTTGAAGACAACGGCACGATGTAGGTCGTCCGCTCGTAGGTCTCCTCGTCGGTCGTCTGCGTGATCGGATACGCAGCGGTAACGATGAGGAATCTCAGGATCAGGGCTAGCGAAGCTGCCAGTTGAGCGACACTGGCCACGCTGGCCCACGACGTCATTTTTTTTTTTCTCTTTCCTCTTTGCAGCTGCAGCTGTGTAAAACGCCGCGTGCGTGCGTGTGTTGCGTACGTCTCTCTCTCTCTCTATCTCTCTCTCTCGCTACACCCGTTATTTCACAAATTCGCCCATCCTCGCCGAGGAACACTCGGCGCGCTCCTCTCGCGTATTCTCTCAATTATTATAGCACCGTCTTTTCGTCGTCGTTGTCACGGTAGTCCAAGTACAACGCATAACGACGCATTTATTCACCAGCCGGTCACTGTCACATTTTGCGCGGGAGTAAGTTCTCGGGTTATCCCAAGCGATGAATCAACTTTTCGTCGCACGTGTTGCGACAGCTATATGGCACTATATATTTACCAGTGGCTATATTTCCTCTGTTAAGATACAAATAATTGAGCATGAGATGATCCCGTCGTGAACTCTTCGCGAATCAATCGATCGTCATTTGCGAAAGAACGGAATAAATTAAAAACTCTCGGTGCACGTTAACGCAGCGTGTCGGAAATTGCATGCTATTTGTGAAACGAGTTTCATGAGATAAAAAAATTCAATTGTTTACTTGACTTGGAAAAACTTGAATCGAAATCGCGGAAGCAGTGTTCATTTAATTCATAACAAAATATGTGACGTATCTATGACTAATGTGTATACATTTTTATTTCCGAACTAATATCGCAATAGGTTACTCGAATCGCTTTAATAATTCTTGAGAAGGAAGATTGTTAAACAATAACTGAAATATTATCGTCATCGTTATCGCGCGAACCCTCTCATGACCGCGTCCTCCGAATATTCGTCATCGACGAATCACGCACGATCGTGTCACGAGGGCAGAACAGCAGTGGATTATTCAGACCCCTTGGAAGGTGGATTGATCTCCCCTACATTTTTAGTGGACAGACTAGGGGAATATAGTGCTGTAGCATCGTAAACAACGACGATACACGATGCCACATCAATATCGATATGTCGTGCCTTGTCATTCGATCTATCATTTAAAATAAAGATGCAGAGATAAAAATGGAAATACATAAATAATAGAAATATCTGCTCTACATCTCTCAAATCAAATGATAACAATTATATATTGCAAAATTGCACTGAATTTTTTCATGTCGATTATTTCTTTGGCCAAATTATGCATCATTTTTTTTTCATTTCTCATACATATACATGAAGCTTACATGAAGCAAACTTTTACTTAAAGAAGATCTATTTAAAATTGAATGAATAATAAGAAGTTGCCTATTCGCCTATTCATCCAGAAATTAGTTTGAGATAAATTATTCATTCTCAATTTCGCTTACAATTTAAAAAAGAAACCTCTCTAAAATTACGCGTCTTTTACGTGTATTATAAATCAATTTATAATTTGCAAATCTTCGACAAAAAGAATGTTAAAGTTTGCATATTTATTTTTCCAATGCTCCGTATATTACTTGAAGTTTCAATCGATGAAAAGAGCACGAAAGACCGTACTTTCGAAAACGACGCGAGTGAATTTTCCCAATGCAACGCAAACAATTAAACGTCAGTCGCAGGAGAAACTGAGTTAGCTCGAACGCCGGGTTAAGCGGATAAAGAAGCAAATTACAGGACGGCCAATAACAATGGCGCTTCCTTAACACAATGGGGAGAAAAAGAAATAGAAAAAGAGAGAGTGAGAGCGTTCCAGTTTCATATTTCATTTATTACCTAATTCGCACAGGATAGATAAATAACTGCTAAAACTTCGATGTTATACGCGTTACATTTCGCGGCAATATAAATTTTTATTTATATCGCACACGTGATCATATTTAAGGACCACGTGCACAATTAGTCTAGAAAGGAATAATAATAATGTTTCGCTAAGATTCTCTTTATATATGTGGTAGAAATCATGAAACATGCATATTTGGCATTATCCTTAAAAATGCTAATTAAAATATAAGATTCATTACATTCGCGATTGAAATTATCGTGTTTGAAATTTATAAAATAATCCCAACAATTTTAGCCCTTTCTACAAGAAAGATAAATGCAAAAGCGGATGAGGCTAATCCATGAGGATTCCCACGTCAATCCCACGCTGGCTCGAGTTTTTATTTCACAATGAGATGGAATCCTGAGTACAATCGTTCAAACGAGATTAACGAGACCGCGCCCCATTTCGAGAGACTCATTTTTGTGTTGGCGCGAAACGAGAACACTTCTCAACAATTTATTATCAAAAAATACTCCTTTGGGAAGAACGATCGTCCGTGAACAACACCAACGAGCAAAAAACATTCGCGCAATAAACATTTTATAGCGTAATCATATCTCGTCTTTGTCTAATATTACAATAATCACAAAAAAAAAGAAACGTATTTAACATAAGCTTCGGAAGAAAGCGCGATCTTCGATTGCCGAAATAAAAAGAAAGACAGACTGATCGAAAGATGTGTGATCGCTCGCGAATGCACCGATAAACTCGCGAGGACCCCATTCATGAGGAAACGCCAAGCATTTCGCTCGTCGAAATTGGAACGGTCCGAGAAACGGCAGCGCGGAATGAATCGACCTCAATCGTGAGATTTTTGCTCGAGAGAAGCACCGGAGCGTGCGTTGCCACCGTCGTCGACCCTAAACGACGACGATCCGTCCTCGCTTCTCTCTGTCCCCTCCTTTCCACGCGGCCGCGCGGCGGATGCACCGAGTTTCACCGATCGAACTCGCATACGACGACGAGTCCTTCAACGTCGCGTCGCCGCAACGACGGGATTGCTATCTCTCCTCGTGTCGAAATAAAAGCGGAAATAAAGGAGACACCGCTTTTTTTATAATTCAACGACACTCTCCCGGCCCGATGGAAGTTTATCGATTTTCTTCTCCCGTGATTAAAATCTCACCGTTGCAGTAATAGTTTTGTTATTCAATGGCATTTGTTTTATCTAGAATAGATTTTATTGATTTTCACTGATTTTAGTAATCTCGGAAAATTGTTCTCGTAATAATGGCACCCTGATGGATTATTTTCCGCTCATACCTTCTTGTCAAATATAATCGAAGCACGAGAAAAATATTGAAAAATGTGGCATTGAAATTTATAAATGCATCTTATTAATCGAAGTGATTCATCATAGTACTATATTGATTGCTATTTCTCCTTCTATCGAATATAAGAAAAATATAAGTTAAATGTCATTTGTTTGTTGTCGTAATTTATTGATATTCATTGAAACCAAAATGATAGTTGCACTTGAAATTTTTTCTTTTGCATCAAATATAAAAAAAAAGTCAAATGTTAAATGACAAAGAGAAACTGCCATTTATTCCTCGTTTTCACACACTTATCGTCATCGAAATTGATTAGTGCCTTCTAGATAATCGAAATCAATTGCGAAACGTGTTTATGATGATGATGATTCGCGTTATGGAAAGCAAAGTCGAGAGAGAAAAAAGCAAGTGAAAACTTGGCAAGCATTATTTTTCTTCGTGATAAATACGAGTCACTTTCCACATTTCATGAGAACGTCAATCAATTAGTTTTCTCTTTCTTCTATTTACCTCTTAAACATTCATCGAAACGTTATACGAGGATACAGAGAGCTTTGTAGAGATTTTTCGTCAAAACATATTGGATATCACATGGTGTCATATGGACTTTTCGCATTTCTTTTTTAAGCACTCGAAATGAGACGAACTATGAAATTATCGAAATAAGGCCGTAAAAAAAAGCATGCGCGACGTAGACTTGTCGGAGAATATTAAGGATATTTCGGATGCGCCACTATAGCGTCATTTTGGCACTGCTCGACGTGCAAATCTCGCGTCATATCGACCCCTCGAGCCCGCCGTCACTACCCATCGCTCCGAAATCCGATTTCGGAGCATCGAGACCGAGAAGCGACTTGTGACGGTTAGCGCGACCCGAACAAAGGATCTTTTGCCCAGGCAAACCAAGGATCTTTTGCTTGTGATATATCTCTATTCCTCGAACTAGGCGTCACCAGCGACCCGGAGGAGGCGTCGTCGGAATCGACGGTCCGCCGCCATCTCGGCAAGACCTCTCTCTCTCTCTCTCACTCTTTCTTTCTATATGTATATGTATCTCTTTTGCGAGTTGATCATCCGGACAAGATCGCTCGGTCGCGATCCCTTCTCGTATTCAGCAATTCCGCGATGCAAACCGCACTAACCGCAATCGATGGGAAACACCCGCCCGCACGAGGCGATTATTCTGCACAGGCGGAGCACACTCACACCGGGAACACGTACTGTCACTGCGCGCAGTCCGCGGATGCGGACGCGTGCATGCGGACTACACGCGCACACTCGCACTGCACCGCCCGCTCGCGTTCACTCACTCGCTTGTACTCACGCACTTCGGCTACGTGCGAGCGAGCGAGCGAGCGTGCGCGGTTTTACGCTCGTTCAAGCCGCGGCGGCTTCGGCCCGTGTTCATACATCGTTGCGGGATCCCTCTGTACATCCGGTAAGCGCGTACAAAAAATCCGCTCCGTGGACTTGGCACACACACGAGCGGATGTCGAGCCACGACACGCGCGCACACGCGAAGCAACACGCTCTCGCGCTCGCCGCTCCGTTTTTATCCACGCGGTCCGCGTGCTCTTGACAACTTGACGCGCGGTCGAAGAACCAAGATACACGTGCTCGCTTGACGCAAACGCGCGCGTGTCGTCGTCTTCTTCCGGATGGCTATTGTGGCGACGGAAACAACGGCAACGACGGTAACAACGACGACGGCGACGAGGACCGGCTTGACGCGCGCGATGCAGCGTGCTCGCCGCGGCCGACTCGAGCGGACGAGCTTCTCTCTCTCGGCTCTCTCGCGTGCTGAAAAATCGGGGAAAATCGATCGTCGACCAGGCGCGGCGCCGACCGAAACGCCGCTAGCAGCTGCTGCCGCTTTCTCTCTTCCTCTCTCTCCTTTTCGCCTGCTCCCTCTCCCTTTGTCTTTCTCTTTCTCCCTCTCTCTCTCTCTCTCTCTCTCTCTTCAGTTCTCTATAGTCGGCTTCCTCTGTCGCTCCGGTTGCCACGACTGTCACGAGCCCCTCTTCTTCCCGTTCTTCCTGTGACCGCTCTTTCGTCTCTCTTACACGAATAGTATCCTCTCTCTCGACTCTATTTATCTTTTGCTTTCCTTTCTTCCTCCCCTCCTTCTCTTTCTCACTATCTCTTTTTTTTCAACAAAATTAGGAATACAGACTCGTAGAACTCTTAGAAATTTACAGAATATAAATTTTCTGATACTGATTTTTCATACATTGAATATTGAGGAATATTTCAACGATTGGTAAATTTTCAAGTGTTAAATATTCACAACGATACGGGGTATCAAGACTTTCTAGGTACGGCTATGAGAACACTATACTGCCCTTTAGAACGAAGCACTCCGACAATGAGTTTCTATACAAGATACAAGAGTGCGGCGGCAGTGCAGCTAGAAAGTCGTTGGCGGTAAATGCGCAGAACCGTAATGATTCAGAATATAATGACGATAATGATGAATCATCAACGGCACAGATCCGTATACATTATCATAACGTGTTTTAAATGCGTTAGCAATAAAGAAGATATTATTAAAGAATTAAATTTTATAGATATTATTAAAGAATTTATAATCTCTTATCCCTTCAAGAATTTTTCGAAAGCTTTACTATGTACTATTTTAATAATAAATATATTAAATATTTCTATAAATATATACTCGTAATTGGGTTCAAATTATCGCAATACAATAATAAGAATATCGATCCAACTTTTAGGAAAGTTAGTGATCCAACTTTGAGGAGAATGCAAATCCTTGTTTAATAATTGTTACACATAATTTTGATACAATCGATTTTGTGTATAACGAAATATTTGCCTTCGTTTCAACGTAGAACTCTTGTCTGGCAGCTGCAGTTAAGCTAGCATTCCACGAATATCTTATCACGAACGATATGGTATTCTGTTTTACCGTACTTGGATACATGCAATACTTTCCATCTGCCATTGTGTACTCGAAAATATACCAATTTTACTCTCAATTTTATATTTTAATATCGCACCAAATGAAAAGTATAAAATAATTTTTCTCTCTCTCGCACTTACCGCCTTCGTCGGTCATCACCGTTACGGTCGAAGCCGGTCCATGACCCTCAGGATTGAAAACTTGCAGCGAAACTAGATACTGTGTGAAGGTATCCAGGTTGTGAATACTGTGATTCTGAAACACAAGAACAAAAAAAATTTGCACAATCGTCATTTTTTTTCTTTAATTTAACAATTGATTAATTATTGATTGATTGATTGATTGCGCATTGATTAATAAAGAATAAAAAATCATATGGCGACTTACATCGACGGCAGGATCGCGAATGTAAATGTTTTTCATTTCTTCATCCGCTTTCTCGCGTCGTCGGTATCCGATGCGATATCCAAGGAACTCGCCGTGTATGGTATCACGACTCGGCGGTTTCCATGCCAGATAAATAGACGTCGCTGAGGTATTATGGGCCGCCGTGATGGTCGGTTTTCCTTCCGGTACTGTAAACAACGCAAATATATTGTGTAAATTTTTCCAATCTTGAATTTAAAAAAAATACACAATCCTAAAAATAAATATAAAAAAGAAGTTAATCCTGAAAAAGCACATTGCGCGCTTACAAAAATATCGTATTCATATTTATAAATATCGTTATGCGCGTATAGAAATTTTTGCAATAGTGTTTAGCAAACGGTTTATCCAAATATATCTCGTTTACGTCGTATATTCTGTGAGAAAAAAAGATAGATTGTTATCGCTTCAGGAAATCCCGGTTAAAATCGCAGTTCTCTCCTCGACCGAGATGTTTAAACAAACTATATATATACACATACTACAGAAATCCATCAGTTTATGAAAAAAAAGCGATTCTAAAGAATAACGTGCGGCAGTATGACATACCGTAAAAATAATATTTAAAGTTGGCGCGGAACGCGCGAGGGATATGGTCGGAAATCGATAGTTATGATATTGCGTAGAATCATCAAATATATATGTGAATAAGTACGTAACCCGCGAACGCAGAGAAAAATTAAAAGGTAATATTTAACTGACAATCGTGAAAATAAATTTTCAAACTGGCGGGTTCCCCTCTCGGAAATTTCAAGTTTTTGCATAAATATGCATATATATATATTTATATATATATATGCACATGTGCATTGTATATATGGAACAGGATCATATAAAATTTCGCGCATATACGTGCTATTGTATTCTCGCGAACGCGCGCTGGCGAATGCATTTTAGTTCCAAATATCGAAAATATACATTTTCGTCGAAATTATCCAATCTATGTTAACAACATATCTTTACACATGCACGCGATCACGTTTATCCGCGCACGCATTGCGTTTATTGATCCCTATGGAATTGTTTTCAAAGTCGGTCATTTTTAATTCACATTCGCGTAAACCGCATCTGAATCCGCGTATCAATATCGCAATCGATACGCGGCGAGTAATATCTTTCCACATTATTGTGAGAAACATGAATCTCGACGAAACGATCGGATATTTTCCGTACATGAAAATTATACGAACTATACTCGTTAAATTTCCTTCACGTACACATATACATTTTAGAGAAGCAGAACGGCCATTCAAACTGCATGGGATTATCGTCGCGGTGGAGGTGCACGTGGAGGTCGCTAAAAAATGGTCGTGTAATAATTTTCAAGCTCGCGTAATTTGTTTTCGGGTTGCCTTATCGCGCGCAAAGGGCAGGCCAGGGTGAGCTCGTTGTTCCCGTCACAGAAGCACGTTCGAAATAATTAGCATCCCCGCGTCACTTCTGAAACGCCCGCTCTCTCGTCGTGCGCTGTCGCGGCCGCGATATCGCGTCGGCACGTCAGCTGACTCGGGCCGAGAGTGAGAAATTGTCGCAGAAATAATACCGGGACATTTAATGCGCGTTGTGTGTCAGTTAGCCCGACCGTTCCCATCCATCCGTCGTGTTATAATGTCGACGAAAGCGTTAATTGTACGATCACCAGGCGTTAATTGCGTGAGGTCGACGAAAAAGTAAGGAGCTTCGTAGTGACGCGTTTGGTTTTATCACGATTAATTTTTAATCATTTAATTTATTAATATTTAATTACTAGTCGTCGAAACGAATGACATTTATGTTTGGAATTAAAGAAAAAAGGCAATTGATGATTTATGATTCAAAGAAAAGACGTGTATTATATTTTTATAATTATTTCTATAATTCTCTGTTAAATTAGAAAGAAGAAATGATAATTGATACCTCGCAAACACCAACGATAAAATTGTGTAACATAATAATGTACATAATAGTGATTATCAGAAAAGATTTATAATTTGTCACAGAGTGATAAGTCGGATCGAGTATTAGCAGAATAAGTGATATATAAGTCTTTTAACTCTGTCTCCGTTCTCTACTTTCGTCGAGCAATTTAGCGCCACGATAAATACGAGCTGCACTTTTTACTGGCGCTAAATCTGCGTTAACTTATTATTACCTCGTCGGCGCGTTTATGACGATAACGCCGGTTTTATACCTCCGTGATATATTATCGAAGTACCAATTTTGCCGTAAGCGCTCAAACGCTTAATCGTGACAAACCGTTCGCGTAAACATATTGCTAATATTGTTCTTGAAACCAATACATCGTATATAACAGGGTCGTAAGTACGTAAACACATGACATATAGTTTAGCATGCGAAATTACGTCATCCCGATCGAAATCGATGCCTTACATAAAGTATAGCTTTAATTAAATTTTAATTATTATAATGTGAAAACGGTACACATTTTTTCAAATTTTGACATAAAACAGCTGTTCGCATCGTTCGATGTGTATAAAATGTATATATAAGTATAAAAATTAGACACACTTTTTTTCGAGTATAATCAAGATTTACGACTAAATCGAGGCCCTCGAATGATTCATCATTTAACCAAGACGGGACAAAGTATCGTCGTTATGTAATATCAAGACGGAAAATAAATTACTTCGGTCACACTGTACTATAGAGATTCCTCGGCTTCCATCGCTACGTCGAAACGTGACTCGCGGAAAGGCGCCTTTATTGCATCCGCCGAGTCCCTCCACTACTTTATCAACCCCGTCGGAATCGAAAATAGTTCACACAGCAGGCAGAAGCTACCACTCCTTCCCGATTCTCGAGACGACTCTCGCGAATGAACTTACCCGGGAACTCTGACTCATTGCTGGATGTTGCGGTGGCAACAATACGAGTCACCTCTTATTTTCTCTCTCTTTTTCTCACTCTAGTTCTTTCATTCGAATTTTCGTACGGAAGAGAAAGACTTCTTTCTCTCTCTCTCTCTCTCTCTCTCTCTCGCTCTCAATTTATCCTAGAAATTAATTATACCGAGTGCGCGGGATGCATATCTAATCGATGAGCAAATTCCTCGGCTGAACCAATCGACGATTAAACCTTGAGTTCCTCATTTATCGTTGTTATTACAAGCGGTTGTTAATCTGCTCAACTTGCCCGATATACCGAATTAACAGCGTGGTCAATGAGTAATCTTCTCAAGCGAATGTAATCGATAACAGCCTCGGTGTAACGTTGTTTGATATCGAATTCTTACAAAATTAGAAATTTAGAAAATAATTAGCCTTATTCATAACCACGCGAGAGAAGAATCGGATTATTTTTCACGTACGATTATTCATCCAAGCTGATCAAATATCTAGGAATTTTATAAAAATTTTTAACATGACAAAAAAAACAAAAAGACAAGAAAACGACAGAGCAGATATATAAAAACAAATTTTCACAATTTTTACATTATTAGAGAAAAAAACAAAAATATAATGTGAAAATATAAAAATATATAAGTCATCATAATTTTTAAAACAATCATCAAGTTCGAGAGTTTAGTCTCGCGTTTAACCGCGATTACGGACTTACCCTCGCGGATTCTCTCGGAGAGACGCGTCTCTTTTTCATCGAGAGCGTACGGAAAAAAGTGCGGTTTCCTGGCTGAGTTCCTGCAATTTTCAGTTCGACTCGGCGCGAATGAACTTAATCGAGACGACGCAGTGCCGACGGGTGTCCCAATGGCTAATTGGTAGCTCGGTTGCGCTGTATATTTATGGCGAGAGGCGAGGAGCGGGGGCGAACGAGGTCTGGAAATGGGCATGTACATACATATGTGTGTCTGTGAATGTGTGCAGGTATTGTATATGTATGCATATATATAATATATATAATATATATTGTGTATATATATATATATATGAGTATATGTGGAGACTATACGTATATATTGGAGAGACCCGGCCGCGGGAGTAAAGTGGTAGTGGAGAAGTTTCGTCGGTCCGTGTCCTATTGATCCACGGGGTGCAAGGGGGAAGTGAGAGAGAAAGAAAGAGAGAGAGGGAGAGAGAGAGAGCTTTCATTTGAGCCATCGTGAATTCCCGTGCCGTTGCCACACCGGAGCACTACCACCGACCTACCTATACTAGCCGGCCTACCGCACCGATACCCACGAATTAGAATCACGAATTAGAATCCGGTGGCATAAACCAATGCGCGACGAGTTCCCCGGTGCACCCGGTCCATCCGTCCGTCCGTCGTTCGTCGAACGAGGAACCCGCCGACCGTGTGCGACCTGCGAAACGCGCGCAACGTAACCTGTCTGCGCGTCCTGTCAATATTGACGCATTACTCGCCACTCGTACGATCGTTGATGTCGATGCGGGTATATATCGACTGCCACATTCCGTTTGTATTCGTATGCGCTCCCGAATCGAAACGAATCACGCGCGCCGCATCGACTGACCGGAAAAGATATCATTTTTTTTTTTTCCAAAGAACGCTTCGACAGTGTTTTTCCCACTGTTAGAATCGATAATGGGTCAGTCGCATAATTAAAAATGAATATCTGCCGCGAGAGATAAGCGCGCGGGAGTAAAAAATGCAGAATTTATTCCTCTATTCCGAAAATAATTCACGCTCTCTTTCCTGTGTATATATATTCTTTCTCAATTCTTTGTTGAGAAATCGTAAGTGACGTAAGGAATAGTAGTACAGCGTTAGAATGTTGCACATCTACTCCCCTTTTCTTCGTGAATGTGCCGCACCGCTGCGTCGATTTCGAGTACATACGATATTCGGCTGCATCGGCAACGCAAATATATTCGCGACTGCATTTCATCCGCGCGCATTCTGGATCAGCAGCATGCGTTGCACGACGAATGTATCGTTTTTCGATCGCGCTCTATATATCCCGTGGAAAAAAAGGTCTCTTTTCTCTTTTTAATACGTAAAATTTCATTTTGTGTATCGCGTTACTTAACAACCGCGCTAAAACTTTACGTAAAGAGAAAGAGTTCAGCAATATTATATTTCCGATATGTATATATATAATAAAAAAAAAGTAATACGCAAGAACCGATTCTCGGCATAGTTACGGAATCCAAACTATCGTGAGAAAACGTCCGTATGTCGGAGAGAATTGTGTAAAAAAAAAAAAAAAAAAAAAAAAAAAAAAAAAAAAAAAACCTCGTTACCTCGATTTTATCGCGAAACTATGAAATCGCTAATTCGGGACGTACAGCTGATTGGATCACCCGATATTGCGACATTGCGACGGGAAATTACAAAAAAAAAAGTGTCAGTGAACGTAATCGCGCCAGGATTCTCGCCGAACGGCGAATAACATTGCTGCCGAATTTTTCTTCCGGTCGATGACACATTGGCCGGTGACATCGTTCGGCGGTATTTAAATTAATTATTTAAACATGCGCGCACACGTTCGCGTTTCCGCATGACGATGATATGCGAAATCAGATTCGGTAATGCGGGTGCGTCTCGTATAATTATTTCTATCTCACACGATAAAATCGATCTGTAGCTATCGCGCCTACATGTGCATTTAATCACGTTGCTTTCGGATACGCTCAGCTAATTTTCGAAATAACGTTCAATGTGGTATTATACTCCAATTTTTGACCCGGACAATTTCGAAGATAGTAAAGCGAGTATACGAAAAAAATTCCGTTGATCTATTAGTAAAAAATGCAGAAACGATACGGTGATTTTTACGGGCGAGAAGACATTTCGGCCGATATATTTAGATAATATTAATCAAGATAATTGCAATACGGGAATGTACATATATGACAGTACAATGTTTTGCAAATTGTAATTCAGGGATAAATCCGAGATATTCCGACAATCAATATATTTAATTTAAAACTTAATTAGCGGGATACTGATACTATATTACGTGGTTAATAATGTAATATAACGTATTTTCGCTACAAAACATAAATTAATATATAATATAAATATATTAAAAGATATACATATAACGCACAAAAAATATATATATGTTATCTTAATAAACACCTTAATAATCGATTATCTGGATTGATCTGGATTGATTAATCTTGGACATATATAACAATAAATTATAACCTCATTAGAAGAGCATTATTCTCTTACATCTAATTATGAAATCATTAAATACCAAATATCAATTATTTCGAATGTCACACGATTATTTTAACTGGCAACAGTTTCCTACATTTTCCCCCACATCGTTTCGTGAATACTTGACGGAACAATTAATGCGAAGAACTGAAATGCGTCATGCAAAAATGTCAATGGAAAAAAAAAAAAATGAATAGGAAGCTGCAACAAATTCGAATTCAATTATTTATGCATCCATTAAAAAGAAGAGGATGAATCCGGATTCCATTTACGATGGTTACATTCCACGAGGTATATCTAATTCCAGTTGGACTGCGAGTCTCGGTCCTTCGCGCACACGCGCGCGAGTAACGTGGTAATTGGGCTTGCGATCAGGACGCATGGGAATTCAGGTCGAAAAGGGTGGAGGGCATGGAGAGGAGATGGCTCCGCGCGCAAACTTTGTCGTTCGTGGCACGTATATATGGCTATACGTTATACAGTGTCGCGCGGGCGAGCTCAACGGAATTTACAGGGCTCGCCTTGCGCACAAGGCGCGCGCTCAACCTATTTTATAACGGGGATAGCGCCGTCGACGTCGTCGTCGTCCGACGAAAGAAGGAAAGCGGAAATGTAAAAAGCGAAAGAGCGAAAGAGCGAGCGAGAGAGAGAGAGAGAGAGTGAGGAGAGTAGGTGGAAAGCAAATTAGGAGACAAAAGAGAAAGAATAGGCTCGACTCAAGCCTGCTTGCGAAATCCCGGCTGTCGACTGCAATTAGCGCCTCTTTAGTTAGTCGCCCTGGACGGTTCTTCGCGTTTCCCCGGATGCCAAGAACTGGCCGCGCCGCGCTCTTAACGCCACTCTCACCCTCCCCTCGTCTCATTTTTTTCTATACTCGTGGACTTTTCTCTTCTTCCGTTCCGGAGTTTCGCTCGTCACTTTCTTCCGCGCCTAACCGCCGTCAAACGCTTTGTGCCCTCCCGGGCGCGCTAACGACCGGAGGGTGTCAACCATTTAATTTAGCATGACGCCTCTCGGGTGCGTCGTCGTGGTCGACAAACTTCATTTTGATAGCCCACGAGAGATGTAATTTGGACGATTGAATCGGCTTGAAGCGCAGATGTACGCGACGAGAGGATATCCTAAAGCCGATATTGATCTCCATTGGAGAACTTTACTACGACACGAGGAGAGGAGAGCGTTTCGATAAACGATGATTCACTTAGAGAATTAGGCTGTATATAATATCGATATTCTTTTGTAAATGTTCCTAACGAATTGGTGATATTGAGATGGAAAACCCACTCGAGTTACTTCAAGTTTTCGATTCGTCGTATCAATTATAATTCTAATAATTCTCACAAGCGTATTATATTGTAGCGCACGTATATTATATTATTTATATTATTTGTAGCACATACTAATGTATAATATAATACATGTATGTGTATCATTTATATATTATTATGTGTTACTTGTTAAATTAATATTTCGAAAATATGTGTAATAATTTATATAAATATTTAGAATAAAATTAATTAACATAAATTGTACAAATATATTTAAACTGTTTATCGAAATCGCGCAATATATATACTATCAGATATACTTTACATTTTGTTTTAATAAAGACCCTCTTGGGATATAATTAATTATATCAAATTTATATATTATGTGATTATATACATGAATTATTTATGCATCCATTAAAAAGAAGAGGATGAATCCGGATTCCATTTACGATGGTTACATTCCACGAGGTATATCTAATTCCAGTTGGACTGCGAGTCTCGGTCCTTCGCGCACACGCGCGCGAGTAACGTGGTAATTGGGCTTGCGATCAGGACGCATGGGAATTCAGGTCGAAAAGGGTGGAGGGCATGGAGAGGAGATGGCTCCGCGCGCAAACTTTGTCGTTCGTGGCACGTATATATGGCTATACGTTATACAGTGTCGCGCGGGCGAGCTCAACGGAATTTACAGGGCTCGCCTTGCGCACAAGGCGCGCGCTCAACCTATTTTATAACGGGGATAGCGCCGTCGACGTCGTCGTCGTCCGACGAAAGAAGGAAAGCGGAAATGTAAAAAGCGAAAGAGCGAAAGAGCGAGCGAGAGAGAGAGAGAGAGTGAGTAGAGTAGGTGGAAAGCAAATTAGGAGACAAAAGAGAAAGAATAGGCTCGACTCAAGCCTGCTTGCGAAATCCCGGCTGTCGACTGCAATTAGCGCCTCTTTAGTTAGTCGCCCTGGACGGTTCTTCGCGTTTCCCCGGATGCCAAGAACTGGCCGCGCCGCGCTCTTAACGCCACTCTCACCCTCCCCTCGTCTCATTTTTTTCTATACTCGTGGACTTTTCTCTTCTTCCGTTCCGGAGTTTCGCTCGTCACTTTCTTCCGCGCCTAACCGCCGTCAAACGCTTTGTGCCCTCCCGGGCGCGCTAACGACCGGAGGGTGTCAACCATTTAATTTAGCATGACGCCTCTCGGGTGCGTCGTCGTGGTCGACAAACTTCATTTTGATAGCCCACGAGAGATGTAATTTGGACGATTGAATCGGCTTGAAGCGCAGATGTACGCGACGAGAGGATATCCTAAAGCCGATATTGATCTCCATTGGAGAACTTTACTACGACACGAGGAGAGGAGAGCGTTTCGATAAACGATGATTCACTTAGAGAATTAGGCTGTATATAATATCGATATTCTTTTGTAAATGTTCCTAACGAATTGGTGATATTGAGATGGAAAACCCACTCGAGTTACTTCAAGTTTTCGATTCGTCGTATCAATTATAATTCTAATAATTCTCACAAGCGTATTATATTGTAGCGCACGTATATTATATTATTTATATTATTTGTAGCACATACTAATGTATAATATAATACATGTATGTGTATCATTTATATATTATTATGTGTTACTTGTTAAATTAATATTTCGAAAATATGTGTAATAATTTATATAAATATTTAGAATAAAATTAATTAACATAAATTGTACAAATATATTTAAACTGTTTATCGAAATCGCGCAATATATATACTATCAGATATACTTTACATTTTGTTTTAATAAAGACCCTCTTGGGATATAATTAATTATATCAAATTTATATATTATGTGATTATATACAATATATTGGAATCACTATATATATACATACATACATACATACATATATATGTATATAATATGCATTATTTGTAATATATAAACAATTCTTTTAAAAACTGTAATATTATATTTGTTACACTTTTATTTCTGATTTCTCTTTGAGAAAGGATTTTGTAACAGTTCACCGGGATATATATCTACACATTTAGAATAACGCTCGCTATCGGTCGACTACATAAAAAAAAAAAAAAGAAAAAGAAAAAGACTACTAGAAAGGAAGAGAAAGAGAAAATTAAAATCGTAGAAACTTACTTTCACGAAGGGTCACCATATAGTAGGACGCTTGACTGGGCTTGCTGCGTCCTAGAGCATTTATCGCCGCCACTCGGAAGCTATATACCGTAAATGGCCTCAAGTTCTCGACGGTGTAGAACGTATCGTTGTGCGACGTTATGATCTCCTTCGTCGCGTTCCACGGACCGTTTTCGTCGATCCTGGAAACGACAAATACGGTGCGTTATGACACTTGCAATTCACTTATTTGTCGTCGTGACTTTCAGTCATGCACGATACCGTCTCGTTACACGAACGTTAATAATATAGATAACTGTACAAAAATTTTTACAAAAATATCTTTATCTCGCATGCAAAATAATCCATCTGATGTTATTATTTAGAGAATATGCTCAATTTACCTTTTCCTCTTTTTATTATCTCAGTCAAAGTTTGTATAATTTCGAGAAGCTAAATATGATTATATATGTCTATGCTTATTTCTCTTCTTTCGTCAAGTTAAACGAAACTCTAAAACTGCATTAAGAAAATATTTCGGAGGATAATGCCGAAGGGTTAGAATATTCTATTGGACGCAATAGAACTTCTCTATGAAAGATATTCAAATTGCAAATGCGTAATTCTCGCACTAACATAGCGTATGTCCTTAATACGCAATTTTGTGCTATGATAAATCCTAAAGCATGGAATGTAGATGAATCTAAGTGACGATAAAAAAAAAATCGACATGTCTAAATCTATTTTTAGACTGTTTATAGCTACATAAATTAGTATTTTACAAATTGTCTAACAATGATTGGATATAAAATAAATAAGATTTGAGTTTTTCCGGAATTTCCATTCGACAGATCAAATATATTGTGTGAATAATACACATATATTTATAATATAAATATCAAATAAATATCACTTTAAATTTTCTAAAATTATCGAACAAGAACGAGTTTAAAATTTAAGCGTGATAAACATTTTTCAGAATCTCTTTCAAAATTTACACGTGAAAGAGAAGAGGATTGCTCGGGAATTTTATGTGTCATGTCGCAGCACGAAAAGTTGAGCAATCATGTGATCGAATTTCGCATTGCTATTTCTACCTTTCTCGTTGCGTTTCGCCCGAGATGAAATAGTATCCCCAAATTCAATTTAGATGTGCAATCTTTTATTATAATTTAATGATCTCACCGATATTCACATGTAAGTGATATCTTAATAAAATATCGTTTCTTTAGAAAATCTTCGTCGCAAAGTTAAACGATCGAGAATTTCACATTTATTTCGACGTCGTAACTCATCATACGGAAATATCAAACGACTTGAAACTCGTATGAAACTTGTATGTTGAACCTTTTTCTATAATTTATCTTAACGATATTACCAATAATATTTTAATAAAACATCACCTCTCATTCTAAGAAAATTTCATTACAAAATAATAAAAAGATTTTGGTTCGCTATTTCGACGTTTATCACGTCGTGACTTTTATTTCAACGATATTACTAATGCCAATAATATTTTGAGAAAATGTTGCCTCTCTAAAAAATTTTCTCTGCAAGATTAACGGAATTAGAGAATTTCACATTGCTTTTTCGATGTTTCTCGCTCCGTAACTCGTCGTAGAAAATCATCTATAAACAATTCCGGCCGAATCTAGCAACAGGCAATTATCCCAATGCATTAATTGACTCATACGATTACCGCGTATCTCGATATTTGTAATCGACGTACGTCGCTCGGCGACGATATTCCATTGGTCTATCGATAGTTACCTAATACGTGCGTCTCGTGGCACTCGCTCGAACGTCTCGAGTGCCATTCAGCGTCCAAAACATCGATGAACATCGAGAGATGAGCAGCGAGAGACACTCGCGATGGATTAATTGAGATGGGTTATCCCGCTGCTACTCGTCTACGAGATTCGATCTTTGTTTATCATAATTGTGACAAAGGGAACTCTCAAAATTTTCACGTCGATCGACAGTGCATTCCACGTGATAAAAATTGTCCAATGTATAGGATATTATATTCTTTTCTTCAATCTCAAAATCTTTCCACAAAGTTCGTATAAAAAATAATATTTTTCTGAAAATTATATCTGAAATTGTCAAAAAAAGCTCGAAAATCTAAACGTAAGATAGGTGATTTTCAAAGTCACTTTAGAAATCTATACATGAAATAATTACAATTTCTGCAGAATATATGTCAAAGTAATTCTCGGAGACTAATTAGCGGTCGAAGACGCAGCGTGTACGATGGGAGAGAGGGATGATTTTATCGTCTTCGAATTGCATATCTGCATTTTGCAGTAATTAATACAGATTATTAATTGTTGCGCGATCTGTTACGGGAAAGTTTCCGCGCAGCTGCGGTTCGAATAATTGCCACAGTTTGCATTCGCGTGGATCGATTCATTCCACCGTTATTGTGCGTACACTCTCGTATACGCATACATATACACGCACGAACATAATATATCTGTCACGTACAGCGAATTGCGGTTATTTCTCAGTACACTATGACGTTAATTTTCAAAGTACTTTACCAAATCTTTATTTTTCATTAGTATAATCTTCCAACAGCGATAAAATATCATTTTTATATTCGTGCGGTTTATCTGGCAAATATATATCTTTTTTGTACCGTATAAGAATAAAACTCTCAATTTCATAGCTACAACAGATAGATGGCCTCCTTTAGTTTTCTTTAGCCGCGGGAGAGATATAGAGTGTTACATTTTGAATCTTTATTTTTCATTAGTATAATCTTCCAACAGCAATAAAATATTATTTTTATATTCGTGCGGTTTATCTGGCAAATATATATCTTTTGTACCGTATAAGAATAAAACTCTCAATTTCATAGCTACAACAGATAGATGGCCTCCTTTAGTTTTCTTTAGCCGCGGGAGAGATATAGAGTGTTACATTTTCAATGGGCACTTTAGCGTTAAATATGCACTTTAGCGTTCCGATTCCCCAAGTTCTATTTGTCTAGATCGCGTAGATCCGCGTTCGGTACCAACATAATAATGGCAGTTCCACAATTAGCGTTAAATATACAGCGTGTGAGGGAACACATATATGACGTAAACCAGCGAATTACAATGGAGGTGAAGAATAAAGAATAATGTTATATACACACACACACACACACACACACACACACACATACACACACACACACACGCTCTTTCTCGTTATCCTCGTATCGATACACGTACATTCGCGTATATTCCCTGCCGGCATTACGTTATGTTCAACATCCCTCTACAGGACACAATCAATTTAACACCGACAAACCCCCATCGCCAATTTGCCGCTGCGAGATAAGGGAATGATCCAGCAATTAAATACAAAAATGACCTGTCGTGCTCGTTTTTTATTTGCGCTATTTTTGCGCTTGAAAACTCGATGCGGAAAAGCAATCGACGACTTGTATCCAATTAGCGCGTTCGTGTGTTATTGCGACACAAGTTCGTTTCAATTTTCGATGCATACACATTTTGCACAAAAAAATACGCCATTGGTTAGAAATAAGACATTGATTCATGTTTAACGATTCAGATTTTTGCATTTCTTTGAGAAGTTGTATTAAGACGTCCGAGAGAGCTCTCGCGAGAAGTATTTTATTTATTTTAGTAAAGCCACGATCTAAGCAGCATATTAAATACGCGGCATATTAAATTTTCTATCATAAAAAGAAACAATTTTCCTAGGGCTCGTCAGAGATAATTGATTGTTTCAGTTCTTCCGTCTTGATTTTTCTCTATCGCGTAGTAAGAGCGAAAGAAGCGCGCACGGGCTGTTTCTTTCGCAAAAAGAAACGTATTTCAAGAAACTCGAGGCAATTAATTATTCGCTCGTTTGCGAATGAAAAACAATTCCGCGACGCCGATTTCTCTTGACTTTTTCGCGATCGTACTTCTGTTACGCAAATGAAGATACACTTCGCAAATCCCAATGCGCCAACTTTTCAATTTCTCGAAACTCCTACTTCATAAAATATAACGCATAAATTATTCCGTAAAAGTACAAATCCGTAAATGTAATTCGTATAAATTATCGATTATATGTGCCTGTATACAGGATATCTCACTTTTTATTATATAAGTTTTGCACGAAGGGCTCTTTTGACCATCCATTATTCCTTTTTACAGACGATTTTTCCTCAGCAAAAATCTCGAGGAAGGCAGGTTATCGCAGTTTTCTACTTATATACATATATGATTCATATTCTGAGAGATTTAGGTTGTACCAGAAGAATCGTACTTTTTATTATTTATTCAAATTTATCGATTATTAAAAATATATCTCGGCATTTTATCGAGAAAAAACTCAAAAGTATCTATCTATTAAAGAATAATACTCTGTAAAAATAGGACACATCACTATGCGCAGATATTTTTCCTATTGTTATTTTTATGCGCGTGAACTTTATATTCCACGAGTTGGCATATTAATACGAAAAAGATGCATACAATAACAGAGGACAGAGAACAGAGTGGATAGAGTCCATTGTCGGACTGATATAAAGAAGGGCTCGTGAGGATTGGGATGGAACAATGAAAAACTTTAGTTTTGGAAAACCTAAATCCATCTCCGACGTGAGAAGAAAGAGCCTATCAAAACTTTCGTGCCCGGGTCTTTCATAATTCCGGTCCATTGTGGGTGTGCCAGTACAATCCCGATAAATCCTCAACACTCGCGAATCCTGACCGAACGATTGCGCGTATTTTGCCGCTCGTTTCGCGCATAATATCGGACTGTCGAACGAACAGAGCTCAACCGCATCCAATGTTTGGCGAACATCAAATTTTTGGCAATCTTTCGAACGGATTATTCGACGAATTCGGCTCACGCTCCGCAAATATTTAAGCTCGATGAAAAAAAATACGCGCTCGGGACTCTCTTCCTTCTCGCGTGAGAATTTCCAGAGAGAAACAGAGAGGGAGAGAGAAACAAAAGGTGCCACTCGTTTTCGAGAAATTACTGTTTATTATCTTTTTAAGATTTATTGCATCGCCAGTCGCGAGATGAGTTGGAAACTTTGATAACAAAAGTTGATAATAAAGTTTCGCTAAAGTTCGGTGTATAAAAAAAGGGAAA